AACTTTGGATGTACGTATAACTCACTAAGATAGATTATACATAAATTAATTACATAGGTAATATATTGATATATGAATCCACTAAATGTATTATTATTACTGACTTATTTGAGTTGAATAATATGTTTCCAAAGTTTTCATATCTAATTTGCTCAGGTTGTATCAATTCATGAGAATGAATGTAGATTCTGTAATTTTAAATATTTGATTGTAATAAAATATACTTAATATTGAAAAATCCAGCTATCCAATTTTGTTCCAAACGGAAAGAATTTTCATTCAATTTCCGTTTAATACGATTTTGTTGCGTTTTCTTTGCGCATCTTAGCTGCGGTTTTGCAGAAGAATACCGTAGACTTATTATGTCATTATCTTAAATTAAATCTACTTTAAGTAGAGAACATAAAAGAACCGTTTGCGGATCAAGATTATTTGCTATAAAATTCACATGGTTGAGCACAAAAATAAGCAGTTTCTATGGAGATACGTTAGTTTTTCATTGTTAATCGCAAATTTTATACTGACTGAGATCTATATCTTTAATCAACGGAATCCGACATATAAAATAGTCGTAAAACTAGAATGTACTGACATTAGAAAAGATAATGAAATTTTAGTTGAAGCAGTAGCATTTTGATAACATCTTCGTAGTTTCTTTGTAATTTGACCGTAAAATCATCAAAACAACTAATTACTGTAAGAAGTCATTATAATAATTTAACATTGTAAAGTTTTGAAAACAACAACTTTTATAAATTAGTTGTTTTAAACATATGAAATTTAACAAGAGATGCATATATGTGCATTTTTGCAACTTGTAATATTTAAAATTAAATTGCAGTCTTCAAATATAACAAGTATTATAAAGTGGCTACGCCTATTTATTTATTGATGACATAAACATTATTTATATTTTATTTTCATACAAACTGGTTCACCTGCACCCTTTTCTACAAATATTTACACAAATTACCTTATATTATGCGGACTTCAGTTGGCAAATATTTAAACTCTTTTTTCCACCTTAAATATATAAGGGGCTGGTGTATATTATTCTCTAATTAGATTCTTACTACAAATATTTTTTATTAGAATATTTGTTGAAACATAAAACGTCACGGATTAAATTATAACTATGATTAGGATAACAGTTTTCACAAATTTACATCTTAGCTTAACCCTCAGCGGCATTCGACTGGAAAGGGTTAATTTCTATTTTATATAAATTTTATTCTTGAAATATGCTATATCTCACTAATATATGTCCTTGAGTATACTTTATTTTGTTCATGTAATTTTAGGATCATCTTTTTAAGAATGTTGCAATCAGTTTTCAACAATTGACATTTCAAATGAATGAAAATATAAAATAAAAATTGTTAATATTTTCAGCTAAAATGATTTAAATATTAATAGTAACTTTTTGTTTTATTCGATTTATATCATATAATAATAATACGTGTTAAAAGTTTATATTAAAACTAGCAAATCGGGCGAACTCCGTTTCACCACCAGATGGTTTCATAAAAGATAAAGAAAAAATTTGCCTGCTGTTGAAATTGAATAAAAATTTGCCCAATACTCGTGATTAATTTGATGGTTTCGAATTGAAATATTGGGAAACGAATAACTTATTTTTTTTTACATTTTTTGCACAATTTTACAGTGAACACAATGCCGGTTTGTCACATGAAATTAACTGAGCAGAGAACAATGAGTAGCTGTCAAACAAATGAGTAGCGGTCAAACAAAAAATATTAGTTTGTAGTACATGCTAAGTATCAGAGATGAACTTGAAATCTTGAATTTTCTTTGCTATAAGTCTCATGGAGTCCGAGACCTTTCCAACGAATGCAAAATCGTCGAAATCGGTTTGTGCGTTTTGGAGTTCTATCGTCAGGAAGGAAAACCCGACTTATTTTTATATAATAGATATCGGTCATTCCTTTATTAAATCTATGCTTTAAACTTAAAATGTTCAGATGTTATGTCAGATATATATTCAGATGTCATTTCAATTTTTACAATAAATTATTTTCAGTATAAAATATAGACTAGGTTCCCTTTTAATAACTAGTCTCCATGTATTTGAATCAGTTTCTCATATGGTCAAATTCAACAACTCTCAAACAATTGGCCTTATAGTAGAAAGTTATGTCTAAATGCTATGAGTTAAAGTTGGTTACTAATCTCTGATTTAAAACACTGTGTTCAAACACCTGATTTTGACAATAATTAGTCTAATTCGTTTAGTAAAACTTTGACCAGCCACCCCTTTAATACTTGTCTCTCCATGTATCTGAGTCAGTTCCTACCTCGTTCGCCACTGAGCAAACACTAAAAGAGTTGAAGATCTCTATTGCCGTTGCAATGAGTCTTGGTAATTGGGTCCTAAATTGAGAAAATGGCGTCGGCACTTAATCTGTCTTCCTTGGCTGCATTTCTCGACCAGACTGCTGCGATACCTACTATAGAACAATCATTAACCGGTTAACCAAGATAGTTGAAGTTGTTGTTTATTGCTGTTTATTTGCATCTGACAAATGTCTAAAAAATTGTATATGGGATCGGTCAAATTTCACAATTTTATATGATAAAGATAACAAATAAACTAATTGTTAACAAATTAACAAACACTGATTAATTTACGAACATTGGTGGTACTAAACTTAAGCCACAATAATATAATTCTGTCATTTCTCACCCCTTTAATCTTTTTCTACCTCTTTCTCTTTTTCTCTCTCTCTTTATCTCTTATATATATATATATATATATATATATATATATATATATTATTTCCAAAAATTGTTTATATTTTTACTAACAAATATTTTCTTCATTTCAGTGACATGAGCTCTCCTCTTTCTCAGGAACTTTTGAGCTGACGTCTTCTCTAATAGGTCAAGGTATGTTCTATAATAATTTTTTACTGAATACACAAATCAATTTTAGGGATTGTTAATATAGAAATAGTCTCTCAAATAATAGCTTTATTCCCACTATAAAGTTTGTATAGCTTGTTTCTGCAACAAGTGATCCTTAATCGAAAGCATAATTTTCTTGAATAATTACTATCTTCAATAATTTTCAATGCCAAGATTTCAACTATTGTTATTGTTTTTGTGCTTTAATAGGATTTCTATAGTGCGATTGAAATCATAATCAAGACCTACAAATCTACAATAATTTTGTTGAACTTCTTTTGATAATTTACCTTTATTCAGGCAATAGTCAAAAGCTTCAGCAATAGAAACAATCGATTTTTTTATTTTACGAGGACATTTTAACTTTTATTAACTCTTGTTCTTTTTACACCTGATATATCACTTTATTTTCATTTCTTATAGAATGGTATCATGCAATTGCTTCTGGTAATGTTGATTTTGGTTTTCAAATTGTGAAATTTAGCTCAAAAGCTCAAAAAGTATTGATAATAATTTAACGAGTAACTTAGTAGTAATATTATATTCAAAATAGAGTAAAATATGTTTCCAGATCGGAATATTTTTTTCTGGTATCTCCATTAACATTTTATTACAGTTAAAAACAAGTGCTATGTTCAATATAAAATATATCTAATGCATAGGATAACAATTGAGGTTTCTTCTAAAAAGTAGTCGAGGTACTATCATAAGGTTCTGATTGCAGTTGAAAAAAATAAATAGAAGAGTTTATTATTATTTCAACTATCACCATATTTTAAACGTGCACCACATATAAAAGTACCTTAAAATAATTAAAAAAAAAACTGAACAGCGCTCTTATAATTAAAATACCCTACAATTCATTAAAGATTCATCTTTCTGGGGGTAACTGCGTGTTGCTTGCTATTGTACCTACTGCAATAGTACATTTATAATTTATACAGTGAGTTTTACCATTCCCGTGTAACCGTAAAGTATTCTCGTCAGAACTAATTTCACGCCAGTTGCATGCATATAAAGTTTGTATTGCTTATTTACACATGCTTAAGTTTAAATTGTAAATTACCACATGCAGACCACCAGGAGGCGGCCAAGGTGGTGCAGGTTTGGGGAAATGTAGTAATTATTGATGCCATTCATAAATTTTAAATATTGTCCTATGTGTGTAAATACTATGATCATCATTAATAAGAGAAACATGTTAGAAATACATTTGAATAAAATTACAGCCTCAGAAATAAAAAGACTATTAATTAGTCACAAGACGTATCATTAACTGGATATGCAAGTTTAAGAGAATTTACTAGTTATTGACACCCATCATAAATGCGAAGAATTACTAAATGATTTTAAGTGAAAAAAGCATAAAAATCATTGAACATTATTGGGAACAAATTAATTAAACAGCTCTTGTCACAAAGATACTAACAATTACTTATACGATACGTTTTTTCTAGATAATTTGCTTCTGAGATTTGCTTAAAATAATATTACGGCCAGTAATAAATAAGGCATAAAAATTAATATTTAAAAATTATTTCTATTGTCTTCAATTTTACATAACAATATATTGTGACGAGTTAAAGGTTGACGCCCCTTTTTCGAGGTATTGCAACGCCTGCCAAATATTATATTTAAGCATTGCATCCCCATTACGAAAGGGTTACTCCAACTCCTTAAGCCGACTTCTATGAACACCCTGTTATTACCTGTGGAAACTAAACCAACTAACTACGCGAACAAAACAGAATGCACTTTTATATTATTTAATTTATATAATTATAATTACAAGTGTGAGGGCATGACTGTACCTACGTACAGTCATGTCCTATGCCTAAACCTTAACGTACTGATAAATCAAGACATTTCTATCATTATTAATAAATGTGTTGAAAAATTACACAGAGCATCTCATGCTGACGTCGTCTATGGACGACACTCGTAACAAATTAGTTAATTATCTGTTGCCTATTACCTGCAGGGTCGATGACCATCTCTTAAAATTCATGACAATATATTATGTCGTCCATGGACGACACTCGTAGCAAAATAGTTAAATATCCTTTTTCTCTTACCTGCAGGGTCCATGGCCATCTCTTAAAATTCACGACAATATATTATCGTGTGTTTGTAACGTCGTAATTTAATAGTCTCTCAACTTATTCACGGAATTTAGAGATACGGCAACTTGTCTGCCAGCAATGCGTATTCTTATCTTGTACTGTTATCCATCTTGTGGAAAATCCTGTTTAATTTTCCTGTTAATTAAGGTTCAAGAGTCGCTTATTGTGCTATATCATCAGAATATAACGTTTGTTTGTATGGAAAACTTTTAATGGCTTAGGAAAATAATAAAGCACTACATTATTAAATTATATATATATATATATATATATATATATATATATATATATTAGGGTGGTCCTTAAAATGGTCATTTTCGAATTTCCTTGCTCCCAGGAATTCAAATGGTTCCAAATAGATAAAAAACAATTCTCTGAAAGTTTTAGCTCTTAATATTAACGTTTAGATAGAGCGCAATTCAATCAAAGTTTGTATGGAAAGAGCATGGAAAAATTTTTGAAAATTAAAAAAAAAATGTTTTAGGTATAACTTAGCGATAAATGAATAAGTTTTATTCATTCATTTGTTCGCTAAATTACATTTAAAAAACATTTTTAAAATTTTTGAAAATTTGTTCATGCTATTTCCATACAAAACTTTGATTGAATTGCGCTCTATCTAAACGTTAATATTAAGAGCTAAAATTTTCAGAGAATTGTTTTTCATCTATTTGGAACCATTTGAGCCCCTGGGAGCAAGGAAATTCGAAAATGACCATTCTAAGGACCACCCTAATATATATATATATATATATATATATATATATATATATATATATGTAAAAATACAGTTTCGTTTTGAGCACTTATATTGTTGTATTATATTGTACTGTATATTGATATTGCACTTTTTTATTTTAAATTTAAATTAGAATCTGTCGTATATTAGACATTAGGAAATTAAGATGCTACGCTTTTATTGGCTTTTAAAAAGATATTTACTAGTGGACCTTATAGTTTCAGAAAACATCAAGATTTCTTACATAAGTTGATATATAACAAAATTTATATATAAATTTTGGTATAACTCAATAACTACTCGTTGGTGGCTTTTTTGTAATTTTGAGAGAATTTTTGAATTTTTTTTCCACAATATTTAAATTTGTGCTTTTATGTATGATCCAATTAGAAATATATCTCGGAGATGAAATTGCAAGCGTCATAATTTTATTTTGATAACGTTCTTAAATCTGTATATGGCTTTTCTTGGCTGCAATTGCACCCAAATTGATCAAGATTTAAGATTCTATTATATTCTTTTTAGATTTTACGCTTTAGTTTGTAAAATATAGTTTTTTGTCATAAAAGTATTAGTGTTTCTTATGATACATCAATGAATGGCAGAAATTCCAGAACTTCCATAAGATTAGGGTTTACTCAAGAGTTAGGTCAACTCGTGGTCAACCAACAATTTGAGTGTCTAAAAGTTTAGGGATGCTATTATGGGTTTAAGGAAAATTTGTGTTCTAATAATATAATAATTAAATAATTAATAGACAATTTCATACTATATAAGCTTTGTGATCCATAAACCATAATCTGCATACAAAATCCTCCTGTATGTGATTAATTACAATATTTTGTTGTATGCCTTCTTTGGCGCGTACTTGATACTATATTCAATGAGATGATAATTTATACATGGTGCAATATTGAATTATATTAAAATTTAGTTTTTATAGAATAGGGTAATATAATTCAAATTGTACGGTAGCGTGATAGAGAGGAAGATATTAAGTCAATTAAGTTTTAATTTGCTTCTAAATATCATAATTCTTATTTTATTTTTTTATTTTAAGAATTTTTTAGTTATTTTAATTTTAAGAACTAGAGCAAATACGCTATTTGTAGTTAATTATACCATTCAATTTTAATTTTTTTTTTTTTAAATTAGTAACGGTTTTGATTATAGAGAATCTTAATTTTGAATTTCACATTTTATTCTTAGTTTTATTAACATCAAAATTGTATATATTATTATCATTATGTAAAAAATAATGTAAGTTAATAATGGAAGTATAACACTAACTTTATTATTTATATAGCAAATTGTACTGAATATATCATGTTTTTGAAGAAGTAATAAACAAACACTTTCATTTAAAACATGTCTAGTCATATTTAGGGAAGAATAGTGTGAGATATTCCATTATTATTTAACACAGAAATGTCAAAATTTTTTCTATTACGAAACATATTTTTGATCTATTTTGAAGTGAAAATTAGCATAGCTACTGCACAGAGTCAGGCTACTCAGAGCAGTGTTTGAAAACACAACCGACTGATTCAAAAACTTTTTAGCATTTAACGTTATAATTCTACATAAAATCCTTTTCCAAAGACACAAAATTAAATGTACATTTCCAAAGTGACATACAATCATACGGTTCTCTGTTTTGTGTTAGTTGTACATCACACGGCATTAGGGACAATGTGTACTAATATGGCCAGAAAGCAGGCGGCGGCGGCGGCGGGTTTAAATGCAATGAATTACCTAATTAAAGGCTTCGCTTCCGGAACGCTGGCCCGGAAACTAAACTTGTCACTTGCCGCGGCGGTGCTTCGTGTACGCAACAGCAACAGCAACAAACATATTTGGCGAAAATATAATTGAAAATGGTAATGGATCGTTAGTCGGATCTTTGTAATAAATGATGAATGAATTTACTATATTTACCTTTTATGGGCCCGCGAAACTTTCAGGTCATTTCAAATTTTTCGATATTTTACCAAAAACTTGTTCTAGAACTCGAGACATGTTCTGGTACAATAAATACAGGTTGCATAAACACCGACATTCCTACTCAAACTATAAGTAAGGTGACCATACGTCTCGGATTGGCCGGGACAGTCCCGGCTTTTTCTAAATGCAATATTTGTCCCGGTTTTAGGTGTTTTTCCCAGATTTTTAAAAATGTTTTGATTGCCAATTTAATTTTAAATATATTTCAACTAAAAAATTTAAACCCAAAAAATGAGCATGTAAGTTTTTAGCTCACCAACATTACCCCTCCCCCCTCCCTCGCGCTCTCACACATTCTAAACTGTAACGGATTTCATGCAAAAAAATATGGTCACTTTACTATAAGCCATCTCCATAATTTATTTAATTTATTTATTTGTATTATCAATAATGTTATTTATGAATTATTTGTATTTTTATCATAAGATAGATATACAAAATCCCAGCTACTCACATTTCCTTTATGTAATATAATATTGAAAAAATTAATCTTTTCAAACAAATAAACAAACTTATGCCTTTTTTCTTATCTAAATTTTATAACATTTGTCAGGGCAACAAATATAAATATCTATGACCTTAGGTAGGCTTTTCAACCTGAAAGCATTTTTATACACAGAAGAGTGAATATTATTACAAGCTGCAGTGGCTTGAATGTCACATAACAGACATTTGCATTTATATATAGGCTTATAATTGTTGATTTTTCTCTATTTTTTTTACATGCAAAACAAAAATTGATTCCATACAGGGTTAACCGAGTCAATAAGGGCTAAAAACAGGCGGACTTAGAAAACTTTCCATAACTTTTTTTAAATATTATTCAAAATCATAATCATGTGTTTTGAGTAAAATAATATTTTTTGTTTAAACAATATGTATGTTTTTCATACTAGAAAATCTGTTTTCAGAAGGTTTTTTTTAAAAAAATTGCGCTTTAATTTGCTTGTTAAAAATAGTTCTTGATAATAATTTAATATTCAAATCATAAACATTTTCTGTGTGGGTCAACAATTATATATGTGGTATGCTTTTGGATTTTTAAATGATGGATTTCAAAAGTGCCATTTTCATTGAAAATACAATTATTAATATGCCGAGAATTCATCCATACAGAACTAACTTATTAATTTTCAAAGCTTTTGTGAGTTTTTAGTCTGTTTAAGACAAATGTTTAATTTTTAAAATAATCGAGCTTTTAATAAACAATGATTTTCAAATTAAAAAGAAAAAAACATTTTTTTATAATATCTCAAAAATGATGAAAAATACGTGTAAAATTATAATGGTGATATTGTAGGTTTTTTATCAATTTTTGTCAATAAATATAAATTTACTCAAATTAGATTTGTGACATTTGAATTAGCATTCCATCTTTTTCTACACATTTATTTAAAGTTAGGAAACGTGCCTCCTAGTATTTGTTTTTTCAAATACTAGTTACTTTAGTTAATATATCGAGTTACTTGAACTCATACAAATTAATATTTTTTTCTTCAAATTAACGATAATATAATTTTAAATATGTGAGGATTCTTCAAAATATATTTATTTGCAAATACAAATGCAAATCATTCGATTTTTTTAGAAGTTATGTCAAAATAACCTTAATTTTTGATAATTATTTATACAGAATATCAAAAGACGCAAAATAAGGCTAGAAGTATGCTATTGAACAAATTTATGTTTTTACCACAATATAATGAAATTTGAGGAATTACTCATAATTCCGAATCAGAGAATTTCTTGAAATAATTTCTGCTGAAATTAAATTTTTGATAATACTATTCGAGTCGAATTTAATTAATTCAATATATACTCCTTCATTATTATCCTTAATGAGAAATGCAGAAGTTCTTAATAATCATTAAATAAAACAACGACAAAGTTTACAAGAAAAAAATTAACTTAATTAACTAATTTAGTTTTCAATAATAATATAACTTAAATTTGAAGAACTACTTAACTACAATTGAATTGAGGATTTTGATAGTGCTGAATTACCATGCTTAATCTGTAACACATGAGTTCTGGACAGTTCGTTCAAACAAAAAATAATAATATAGGAAATACTTCAATAAAATCATTTATGTTCTAAAAGCAATAGCATAAAAAATTAATGAATTGCCGATTGAAAAATGACATTGTAATCAAAAAATTACTCGCCACTCGTCGCAGAAGAGCAATCTCGAGCTGCCAATTGTTGAAGTTTATCCAAGTAATTCACG